GGTTCGGTTGATGAAAAACATTTGGGAATCTCTGACTGAAACACCTGCGTTTGCTTATTATGAGACCAAACATTGGTCAGGGTCGCCAGTTCATCTGGGAGTTTCTCGTGAGACTCTTCAGAGCGTTCCTGATCAAGCGTGTTGTGTTTCAGTGTTTGATGTGTCTCTCATCAGCGGTGTGTCTGTGTGTTTCATTCAGGTGAAATATAAGGCGTCTGGGAAGCAGCGGGTGAGCGACTCGCTGTACGCCACACTGCCAGAGACGCTGGACACGCAACACGCTAAACACGCCACCGACATCATCAGTGAGGTACAGCGGCCTCGTGTTCAAACACTGTGTGATTTCTGCACGTTACAAACTCACAGTCTCACAGCAGAAGAGCTCGAGGTCGTCATGTTTTATATGTTCAGGTGAAGTACAGAGAGGACGGCAGACTGAGTTTGTCCAGTCCATTATTCTCTCGACTGCCAGAGACGCTGCAGACGCAGACGGCCAGAGAGATCGCAGACGCACAGAGCGACGTGAGCACATCTTCACTATATAGGGCACTAGATGTGAGCCGTGGGTTCTGTTTGTGCTGTTTTTACTCCTTAAAACTGATGTGTGTCGTCAGCTGATCGCAGTACAGACAGCAGTGACGGCTGATGTTCATCAGTGTTTTACAGAATATGAATCAGGCTCAGAGATTAACGAGGGTTTAGAGAAAAAATCCAACTGAAATTAATTTTTAAAAGCCCCCAAATTCAAGATAATGGATGCAGAAAATTTCCCTCTATGATTTTTTTGTTTTATATTTATATCATATCACGTAGTTCACACGAGTAAGAGTGCTGCTTTCCCTGAAGTCTGTTTTTGCTCTATTTCACAAATGAAAACCATTCCAAACAAACCCAGCAGAACTGTCATGTGTGTGCGAGTAAAACAGCTGTTTGATTTCTGGATGAATCCGGCTGATGCTGATCTCATGTGATCGGTAACAGCCTATAGCGTGTAATTGTATGTACTGATTAAATGTAATAATTTGACATTGAAGATGATGTATACTTTTTGCAAGGTTGGTCAGTTGCCCTTATAAGTGTAAAACTGCCCCTGAAAATCAATTTAAGGTGACAAATATGGCCTTTAATGGAGCGTTTGAATGAATCAGTTCTCATTTACATCTGGCTCATGTTTAAATACTGATTATTGTGTGCTCCTGCTGCTGTTCTCAGGTCAGATATAAGCAGAAGAATGATCAGCTCAGTCTGTATTCACTCCTGCCGCAGACCGCAGACACAGAGTTCGCCAAACACATGAGCGACGTCCAGAGTGAGGTAACACGCGTGTACTGCACTGATGCCACACTATTACTGATATTACTAAAGTACACTTTAGAGTCTATATAAGTTCATTCTGTTTCTTTGGGTGTAAAGCAGCTTCTATTTTCAGCTTCAGTACAAGCAGGAGGGTAAGAAGGAAGCGGAGAGCAATCTGTACAGCCTGATGCCGCAGACGCTCCAGACCGAACATGCTAAAGACGCCTACGAGCTGCAGAGTCACGTATGTGTGTCGCATCACGGACAGACACAGTTTGTGAATGACAGGAGCTCAGCATGTGTGATGAGGAAGCGTGTGTATTTACACATGACTGTGTATGTAGGTTAAATATAAAGAGAAGAACAAAACAGATGCATCTCTTTATGCCTGTCTGCCCGAGACTCAGAACACGGAACACGCCAAACACGCTGGAGAGCTGTGCAGTGAGGTATGTACGGCACTGACAGCAGATTCACACGCACTCATGAGCATCACACTGACCGCAGGTGTGTTTCCTTCAGCTGAAGTATAAAGAGGCCGTGAAGAAGGATCTGTCCTCACCGCTGTACTCGCAGATGAGCGACACCGCAGAGATCCAGCGGCTCCGAGATCTCAC